CCCCAGCCAGCCTGGTGGTGGGGTCTGGCAGTGGGCAGGTGATAGGAAGCCTTACTGGGAGGGATGAAGAATGTGGCAGAGGGTTGGGAGAAGGATGGGACGGGAATGGGGGGGGGCAAGGGAAGACCCAGGTGGGAACAGGAGAGCCACTGGCCAGCCCTGGCCACGCAGGTCCTGTCAGCTGTGTGCCTTATGCTGCAGCCAGCAGCTGCCCTGGTCACAGCATGGGGGTCCCTGCACTCGCCCCAGTTTTGACACCAGTACCCAGGGACCGAGGCTCCTTCAGTGGTTCCAGCAAAGAGGGACCCACTTGCAGCCTCCTGACCCACCAGCCCACACCAGCCGGCACAGCCCCAGTCCTCATGGCTGGGGGGAGGGGCCACCCGGTCAACACAGGGGGGAGCTGTCTGGCACCCCGTCTTTGCAGGGGGGCACGCAGGTGCCACGCACCCCTCCTGCACCTGCTCAGGCCCACGCTGCTCATGCTCTACCCACCTGGCTCTGGCCCTCACCCTGCTGCAAGCCTGTCTGCAGGCCACCCCGGACCCCAATAACCTAACTCTTCCCCCCCCACCCTCACCCCCTGGTGCCATGGCACAGCCCCGGAGGTGCCTTACCAAGCCCCCAGCCCCCTCCTTGCCCCCTTCCTGGCTGCTGGCAGGATGCTCCAGGGTGTCTGGGGTGGGGGGACAGAGGCAACAGTTGGGCATCTGTCTTCCAGATGCTGCTGTAGCGATAGGGCTTTATTTATTGACTTTGGGGAGAAGGCTTCTGCCTGTCCCCATCCCCTCCACCCTGCCAGGCTCCAGAGTTGCCAACGTCCCTGTGGTTTGGAGCAAGCAACATACCAGAGCAGCAATAAAGAGACTGAGCAGCTGGTTCCATCTTCGTGCCTTGCTTGGAGGAGAAGACGTTGTGGGCAGAGCAGGTCTTGGCTGCCACCCAGGGCCAGGTGCCTTGGGAGGGTCCTGTCTCCAGATCATAGAATAATTTTGGTTGGAAAAGACCTTTAAGATCATCAAGGGCAGCTGTTAACCGAGCACTGCCAAGTCCACCGCTAAATGGGCACCCTAAGCACCACATCTACACATCTTTTAGATACCCCCAGGGATGGGGACTCCACCGTTTCCCTGGGCAGCCCATTCCAGGGCCTGACAACCCTTTTGGTAATTTTTTTTCCCTAACATCCAACCTAAACCTCACCTGATGCAACTTGAGACCATTTCCTCTCGTTCTGTCTCTTGTTAACTGTGAGAAGAGACCACCCCACACACACCTGGCTACAATCCCTTTTCAAGTAGCTGTGGAGAGCAAGAAGGTCTCCCCTCAGCCTCCTTTTCTCCAGGCTACACAACCCTGGTTCCCTCAGCTGCTCCTCACAGGACTTGTGCTCCAGAGCCTTCACCAGCTTTGCTGCCCTTCTCTGGACATGCTCCGATGTCCTTCTCGTGAGGGGCCCAGAACTGAATGCAGGATTTGAGGTGGGGTCTCCCCAGTGCCAAGGGCGGGGGGACAGTCACTGCCCTGGTCCTGCTGGCCACACTGTTGCTACCACAAGCCAGGCCACTGTTGCCCTGCTTGCCCACCCGGGCACGCTACTGGCTCCTACTCACCCGCTGCCCACCAACACCCCCCGGTCCGTTTCCCCTGGGCAGCCTCCCAGCTGCTCCTCCTCCCCCCAGCCCGGAGCGCTTATCGGGGCTGTCGTGATCCAAACGCGGGACCAACACTCGGCCTCGCTGAATCCCGTACAATTCTCCTCAGCCCATCGATCCCAAACCCGGGAACCCGCAGCCAGGAAGGTCTGAGGGTGGGGCGGGGCTGGGGAGGCTGCGGGGAAAGGG